AGCTATCACCACTACTTCACTATACTGTCACTCAACCTTCCAAGTCAAAGTAATCAATTGAATTCAGTCCAATGAATATTTGGGGGGGGTACTTGATACTTTTTGCTGTGCATCAGACTCATGGTCTGGGCTGGATAGTTAAATGAACAGTTATTCTCCAAATTAACAAGTTCTAGGTCTTAATCATATCCTGGTCATCATTGTATACAAATCCCAGCCAGTACCCAGCACAAGTCAACAAACTAGCAGTTGGCATGTGTTGAAGCAAATATGCCGGGCATTTTACTCAGTTGTCCTTTATTCTCAGCATAATCCTTACCACAACTTAGTGAGTTCTAGTCCAATCCCTGTTTTTAAAATACGGAAATTAAGGCAAGAGAACAATTAAACGACCCGTCAGAGTAACACAGCTAGTACAGCCAGGGTACAAATCCAAATAGCGTGACCCTGTTGCCTCTGAATGCTGGGTGAGTGAGTAAATGAATGGGCGGGAAGAGGGGAAGGAAGAAGAAAAAGAGTGTGGGAGCTAAAGGAAGGTAAAAATTAGTTCTAGGTTAACTGGAGCTTCACAGAGGTTGGTTCTACTGAGGAGGGGAAGCAACTGAAAAGTGTCCATAAGCCTGGAGGAATTAAACTGAAAGTTGTGAAGTGAACAGGTGGTCACGTGTGGGGCGGCTGGCAAACTGGTGAGCAAGCCCTCTGCCTTTATGCTTGGCCCTCCCCGCTGGCCTCCACAGGACAGTTCTACAGCTGTCCCATCTCCACTGCATTTGAGTTTTCCTCTTTGTCCAAGCAGTTTATAAACTTGCCAAGATATTTCCCAACTTCAAATACATTCCTTTCCCTTCATTCTGCCACCAGCAGTTGCCCTTCCTGTTTCCCTTTGTAGCAGAATTCCTAAGAATAGTCTACATTCCATGACTCATTTTTCTGTTTTCTTCTAAATCCAATAAAATTCACTCCCACACTCCAGTGACACAGCTCTTGTCGAGGAATAGCCTCCCTGTCACTGGAGACCCCCACAGTGCTTGGCACTGCCTGCCTCTGCCTCCTCGCACACTGCCTTCCCTCCCGGGGAACTGAGACATCACTCTGCTGTGGATTTCCTGTCCCAAGCTCCTGGGAGCCTCCTGAGGTGATGCGCATCACTGCCACTGCCCAAATGTCTTTATAGTGATACCTGTCAGGACACTGTCCCTGGAAACACTTCAGTGACTCCCCGACCCCCCGCACGTCCCACTCTGACCAAATCCAAAGGTGAGCCGAGTGGGCAGAGCTGCCTGCCCTGCAGCCTTGTCTTCCACAAATTGTGTGTGGTGCACTAGGGGACGTTGCTGCCTCACCACGTCCTCGCAGTCCCTGGGAGCTGGTGGTTCCTATTTGCAGCTGAGGAGGCTGAGAATCAGATTTTCCATCTCTTGCACAGGGGACACAGGATGCGGGTATCCTCTGTCAGCGTCTCTGCTTCCAGACCCTCAGTCCTCCGCTCACCACCCCTCACTTGGCCTGTCTGCTTCCACTCAGTGCTTTGGGTGGAGCAGGAGGGTGGAAGTCTGGCTCCTTTTGGGTTCCATCTGGGTTTCCTCTGGAGAGTGCAGTGGTTTATTCCTGCTTTGCCCCAGGGACATGGTTGTCACGTTTGCAGGACAATGGAGGCTCTTACTGGTTGAAATGCTAACTCTCCCCAAATGAAAGGCCAGCTGCAAAGTAGGAGAAGAACAAGGACTGAATGATTTGATCAGACATCTGTGGGGGCCTCCTGGCATTTGGAGTGTGAGTGCCTTAGAGAAACTTTAACTATTCTGGCCTCAGGGAATTAGCGACTGTTAATCTTGGTGGTTTTAGACTGCTTACTGCCCCAGAGGTCCCAGCTTGCTGTATGACTCAGAATCCGGAACACTCCCCCTATTCTTCTCTCACTGGGATAGTCAGGAGGCCATTTCTAAGGCATTTTAATTTGGTAGTAACTTGACTGGCCCACTGTCCTGGAGCTGCCTGTAGTAGAAGTCACTGTTGGCTTATCTAGATGGGCGCTGAGTGAAAGCTGCTCATCTTCGAGGCTCCCTGCCTTGCTCGGCCTGGCCTGGGGAGAGAGCCTTCCTGCTGGGTTCTGGCCTCCAGGTGTTCCAGCGCTCAGCGCCCCCTCTCCTCCACTAAATGTCCCCTGAACCTAGGGGATCCTGGACTGTCCACAGCCTTTATTCCTTTTTTCCTTCATTTTAGCAGGTTTTAATGAAAGTTATATAGAAGACACTTTATTCCTGCATCTTTCAGTTGTTTCTTCCTTGTATTTGCCCATTTCCTTAACTGGGTGAGATTTGGTTTTGCCTTCTGGAACCTTTTTGCTGTTTCTGTCTGGTTTTAGTCTAGTGATATCCACCTTTATGGGGAGTGAACACCCCCATGATTGCCTGTGCCATTGGCCTTCTTCCTCTGTACTCGTCCAGTATAGATGTTGAACATGTTTCTTCCTCTAAACTTAGATACTTGGCCAGTTTGCTGCCATATATATATATATACATATATA